TACAACTACCACTAATGTCAACAGGAGTTGCACATGGCTAAAACTTTGGACCCAAGTCAAAACCAAAAAAAAACCCCAAACCCCCCAAAAAACAAAGCAGAACTATCTTTGGCCCAACACTTCAAAACCTAACAAACTTAAAACTCTCCTACACATTATGCTGCTTATGCTTACGCTTCTCTGTTTAAAGAATATAGGCCTTTTATTTTTAGGACTGGCCTGAACTAAAATGAGGCATATTATTTTTCAATTAGAAAAGATGCCTTCCATTTTTCTGATTTCTAGCCCCACATCATCTTACCAATTTTCCCCAGCTATTACTCAATTCCCACTCTTCACCTACTTCAGTTTTCTACAACATATTTTACCATGTTTTCCTATGCTCCTAATACCACTCAGGCACCAATTTCTCCATCCATCATGTCAATTTTGAGCACTTTGACTGTATTATGTTATCTCTCATCATCTTACCTTTCTCCCTTCTTGTCAGATTATCCAAATCTTTCTAAGCTTACTGTATCAGCCTGTCTCTAACTCCTGCTACATAAAACAACACCTCTTAATTCTGCATCCAATGTTAATCCTTTCCTTCTGAAATTTAGTGTCATAATCCTTTTCCTCCATATTTTGTTACTGTTACTCTCCATCCACTCAGAGATAAAAATAACTGATTTTTAGTCATATGACTATTTTTAGTCATAATCTCAAAAGACTCTCACCATTAGCTCGATGCTGTCGCTGGGGCAATCCAAGCTAAAATTCCTACTTTGCTCAGTAACGACCACTTAGAAACTTGCACCCTAAAGCTCTGCTTCATTCATTCCCTCATTTCAGGTTTTCTGGTGCGTCCCTCTGGTTTCTTACCAATCTATCATAAATGAATGGCTAAAAAGTGACTTATTCACAATGTGGGTGGTAGGGCTGTGCGAAGCTTCAGGTGCTGATTCAAATCAGAGGAGATTCGGCCCAATTCAGAGAATCGCCGAATCAAATCAGGAGACCAATAAAGGTCCGAATAAACTTGAAGCTCTCCAAAAAGATTCAGAAAAGATTTGGAGAGCTTCGGAGATTCGGGCAGTCCCTGCTCGCTGCCATAGGGAGCTGGACCTGGACTCTGTGGTGTAAGTAGGGGGTGGGGGGGAGGGGGGCTAGAGGAGGGGACCATGGGGA